GGGGCGGGACGGGACGGGCGGGGCCGGGTCGCCCCCTGGCGGCGGAAATAAACGGCGGCAGCGTCCGGCGCGGCTCGGGCTGTGCGGCCACCGGGACGGGGGCGGGGCGAGGGGCGGGGCCACCGGGACGGGGGCGGGACCGGCCGGCTCCGTGCGGCTCTGCACGCGCCGCAGCCGACGCCTGCTCGCGCGCCGCACGTAGGCGCCGCTTAAAGTGGCAACGCGGAGGGGCCGCCGCCCCCGCGGCCGGGCGAGCTGCGGCTGGCGGGCTCGGCGGGCGGAGCCGGGGCCCTTTTAAGAGACCGGCTCCCGGTGCCGGTGGTTTTATTTACATGGGGGCTCGCGGGCGTCACGTGACTGTCGGCGGCGGGGGCTGCGCGCGGAGCACCCGCGGGGCCATGGCGGGAACCGGCGACGACGGTCCGGGGGGAACCGGGGAGAACCGGGGCGGGATCGGGGGGATGGGGGTCCCGGGCGGGGCAGGGGACCGAGGGGCTCGGGACAATGGGAGACCCGGGTGGGCACGGGTACCGCGGGGTTCGGGACAATGGGGAGCCCGGGGGTCGGGGGGCTGRCGTGCACATGGCGGGGTCTGGGTCACCGGGAGTCCCGGGTGGTTGATGTGCGCTGTGGATGGGGTGCGAGTCAGTGGGCAGCCCGGGCGGGGTTTACCGGGGGCTGACGTGCGCTGGGAGCACGGGGATCCCGGGCAGGCTGGTGTGCGCCGAGGGACCCGAGACCTGAGAGGGGCTGGTGACCACCACGGGAACGGGGGCAGAGGCAGATGCGGGCCCCGGGAGAGCAGCMCCGGGGTGCGTGGGACGTCCCGGGTCAGAGACTGCACTTGGTGCTACCGCGGTCTATGGGCAGGGGTGCGGGGTGTGCCGGGGAGGGCTCCCGGCCGGGATGGGATGGGGTACGGGGGTGAGCACGGGGCTGACAGCCCCTCCAGGCTCCTGGGTGGAGCTGCGGTGTGGCCCAGGCTATCCCGAGCCCGAGCCGGCACCCTCGCCGTTCTCCTGCCACGCCGACGTGGAGCGGATGCTGCTGGAGGCGCAGCTGGAGACAGAGAGCAGCGACGGGTGAGTCCCGAGGAGGAGCCGGGCTGTATGGGGGCACAGGCTGGGCTCAGCAACTGAGGCTTTGTGTTTGTGTTTGCAGAACCCTGCTCGTGCTGGGCTCTCCAGCCTGGGATGACGACGGAGCCAGCCACGGGAGCGAGCAGTCAGCRGAGAGCGAGGTGCTGCCTGCCCACAGCCAGCACCCCCCGGGCTGTCCCCACTCCCGGCAGGTCAGGGAGCTGTCCCCACCACACCCTGCCGTGCCCCCAGGCCCTGCTCTGACCTGCTCTGTGTCTCCTTCCAGTGGGATGTGCCAGAGGAAGCCAAGTGGAGGCGGCGACGCCTGACAGCGTCCCTGGGCTGGGCCTGTACCCGCTGCCCTCGGTACCTGTCCCCAAAGTAAGTGCCGTGTCCCCCAYTGTCACCTGCTGACCACCCCTATCCTGCTGTCCCCGTGCCCCTGTTAACCATGCACTTTTCCCAGGGAATTTGCCTTTGTGTGCTCCCCCCAGCCGGTGCTGTGGAGCCTGGAGGGAGGTGCAGTGGGGAGGAAGAAGAGACTTTTCAGTTCAGAGCTGCTGCTGCTCTTCATCCCCTCRCTCCTGCTCAGCCATCTGCTGACTCTGGGGCTGGGGTGAGTGTCTGGAAGGTCTCACCCTGGGACTGGGGGAGGAGGGGACACTCCTGAATTTGGGGTGCTCATCCTTGGGTGCTGTCCGTGCACCACTGCTCCCAGCAGCCACAGTGGTCTGCTSCTATCTCCCCTTGCTCCTGGCTTACTGGGGCCCAGCACCTCACAGTCACTCTCTCCAATCCAGGATCTACATTGGGAAGCGCCTGGCAGCCTCTTCAGCCAACCCTCTGTGAGGAGCCGGGCGGGCAGCACCCACTGCTCCCTTGGGAATGTGGGGAGAGCCCGGCACCAGTGCAGCCCATCCACTCCCATGCCCCGTGTTTGTGGCACGAGGTGCATTCTCCCCTGTCTCCCTCTCAGCCCTCACCTCGGGAGCTGATCCCACTGTGCCCCATAGACTGGAACCTGCTGATGGCAGCTCCCAGCCACAGGCAGCCCCTGCCCTCCCCAGCCCCTGGTTACGGGTCCAGGTCCCCCTGTAACACAGACTGTAAATATGACTGAGCCCACCTGAATAAAGAGCCCTGTGCCAGCTCAGGGACTGAGCACTGAGTCCACTTCCTGTGCCTGGCCAGCACAGCCCGGCTTGAAAAGTGACCATTGGGCTCCTGAGGCCTTCCCTGCTGCAGGACAGTGAGTTCCTGTGCTTTGGGGTGGTGCCAGCTGGGGACGGGCCCCTGGGTGGGCTGTGGGCGAGCAGGGGGGGTTCTGGGGCTCGCATGGGTGCCCAGCTGATGTGTTTGCCCTTTATTAGCCGTGGCTGCAGTGCAAAGGCAGGAGCTGAGCGTGGCAGGGCCAGTCAGGGCAGTGACACGTGCCTGGGGCAGGGGTGGGCAGGAGAGGTGGCACTGCAGAGCGTGCACACCGGGCCAGGTCCTGTGCAGTCACTGCCCAAGCCACAAATGGGTTCTGGTGCTGCACAATGGGGTGGGAGCTGTCGGGGGAGAGAGGAGCAGAAATCGCTCAGAAATTCAGCTGGGAAGGGGGGTGGCTCCCTGCCTGTGGCACAGTCCGTGGGCAGCTTGGGTGGAGGGAGGGAGGGGCTGGGAGAGGCTGTGGGTGTGGGAACTCAGTGGCATCCATGGCCAGGTGGGTCCCAGCCCCAGGGGACACCTGGAGGGTGGCAATAGCCAGAGCTGGGGGACAGACTGGGGCAGTGCYCGGTGCACACAGGGAGTCCCATTGCCATGGGGGATGCTCAGGGTGCCAATGCTGCAAGAGGTGCTCCAGCAGTTGAGAATCAAGCAGGACTGTGAGGCCAGCAGCTGGTTGGGCACAGGGACGCTCTGGGCAGCTGCAGGTGGCACTGGGTCACAGCTGGGACAGTCGCTTGGACTTGGGTGGTGGCAGCGGCGGTGACTTGAGGCTTTTGGTCCCATCTGCTGTTGGGGACGTGGATGCCTGTGAGCAGAGAGGGGGGTGAGGGGGGTGGGTGAGGGTGGTGGGACTGGGGTCCAGGGTCAGGGGTATCCCCCCTCCAGTACCCCCCTCCAGTACCTTCCCTCCGGCCGTGGTGTCGCTCTGCTCCAGAAAGGTCTCGTACACCGCGGGGCTGATCTTGCGGGGCAGCGGCGGGAGCTTGCTGGCGCTTTTCACGCGGCCACCAAAGCCAGTGGGAGACGGGGATGAGCCTGGGCAAGCAGGAGAAATTAAATGGGTGTGTAGGGCCCATCAGAGTGCCCTGGGCTGCCTGGGCCAGTGAGTGTGTGGGCAGAAGGGTCTGCGGGGTGAGTCCAGCCAGGAGCAGGGGGTTGGTTYCCACCAGGAACAGCTCTTGGCACCRAGCCCGGTGGCACAAGGTCTGGRAKCCATGGCTGCAGCCCCACAGGGAGCAGGGGATGTGCTCTGCTCCCACTCCGTGCCACCACGAGGACGGGATGCAGGAGCCCGGGGGTGGTGTGGGAGGGCACAGCCCTGCTCGTGGGGCCGTGGGGGCTCGGGAAGGTGCCCTGGCAGGTTGTACCTGCAGCGCTGGGCTGAGCAGCAGCAGCAGCAGGTCGGCTTGGTGAGGGCTGTTTCCCATCAGAGCTCTGGCTGCTCTCGCTCATGTTGCAGGAGAGTCTCCACTTCTCGTCCTGGGGCACAGAGGGGAGGCTCAGCACCTTGCGGGGCCAGGCTGGACAGCAGCCCATGCAGCCCTGGGGCTCCAGCCTGGTGCCCCTYCAACCTCTGCTCCTGCCCTCCCTGCAGCAGGGGCAGCCACCAGTGATCCCATCCAGGCTCTGCATGCAGCAGGATTCCCAGGAGAGCACAAGTGGGCCCCAGGGAAGCACCAGGGCTGTGCTGAGCATCACCTTGGGTTCTGGCAGCTCCGAGATGGACTGGCGTGGGTCGTGGCGCCAGGCCCCGAAGATGAAGCTGGAGCGGCTCTCCTTGCGCTCGTTCCTGCGCTCCTCGCTCTCCGAGGGGCGGGGGGMAGGCTTTGGGGTCGGGGGCACCTCCGTGCTGTGGAGAGAACGGGACAGTGAGGGGCAGCAGGGGAAGGGGGAGCAGGGCTATGCCATGGACCAGCTGGAGCATCATTGGGAGCGCTGCACTCAGCCAGGCACTGGCACTGTCCATGGCAGAGCAGGAGAGGGTTGGGGGATAAGAAAGGGTGGCTCAGGTGACAGCAGTGTCCATGGGGTGTCTCTCCTTCATGGCCCCCGTTAAGGACAGGACCACTGTGGTGGCCTGGAGGGATGGAGCCCTGAGATGCTCTTGGCATAAAGGGAAGGGAGGGCAGAGGGCTGGGGAGGTGGGACAGAAGCACCTGGGGCAGAGGGGAGCGAGGGAGGTGCAGCAGGGAGGGGTGAGGGGGTCAGAGGGGATGGCCAGAGCTCCCCTCAGCACTTGCCTGGCTCCAGCGTGGCTCAGCCGGTCCCAGTYGGGTACCCAGGCTATGGACCGGGGCCGTCCACTCCGCCGGTCCTCAAAGAACATCTGAGACACAACCGGGAGGGATGAGAGGGCAGAGCCTCCCCAGCCCATCCCTGGGCTCCACAGGGCCAGCAGTGCCCTCTCTGACCGGCCCTGCTTCTGTGCCAGTGCCAGCCACWCCCCAGCAGTGCTGTGCCCACTCCTGGGGCGCGCAGGGACTCTGAGATCTCCCATGCCCAGTGCCCCTCACCCTGTTCCTGCCCCAGCTGTGTCCTCACCCAGCTGCTCCCTGCTGCCCCACACCTGCATTGGCTCATCCAGTGTCACCCCCATGGTGCCAGGCCCATGCCCCCAGCCATGCCCACCCCATGCCCACCGTGGCACTCACCATCTCCCGCACCCCGTACTGGCTCTCCACCTTGGCCCGCAGCTGCTCGAAGCACTGCTCCATGCGCTCGTGGAAGGGTCTCAGGTCCTCTGTCACCTTCTGCCCGTGGATCCGGATCCCCTCTGCCAGCAGCGGGATCTGCAGRAGAATGGGGACTTTGTGGGGCTCCCTGGGACGGGGGACACCGGGGACAGCTGTCCCCAGCAGAGGAATGCAGCGCCTGTTACCTGCCAGGCGATCAGATCCTTCAGCTTCTCGATGTTCCCTCCATCCTCAGCGTGCTCCTGCACGTAGGACTCCTGGAAAAAAGCCTGCAAGGACCCTCCTCAGTTCCTCWGGGCCCAGCTCCACACACGCTGAGGATGGCAGAGCAGCGCTGGTGCCAGTCCTGGCTGTGCCCAGCTGTCCCCAACACAGCCCCTGGGTGTCCTCACCTTCTCGTACTTGGCGAAGCCGCCCATGACAGCGGGGTCCACGATGCCGTTGAGCAGCATGGACAGAGGGTTGATGGGCAGGCTGGGGTCGTTCTGGTGCCGATTGATCTCACTCATGATCTTCTCGTTGGTTTTCATCATGGTCTCAATGGCGTTTTCCAGGGGGGAGATGAGGGTCTGTGTGCAGGGAGGGGAGGGCAGCACTCGCTGGCACTGCCACTTTACCCTCTTCTTTAGGGCTGGCAGGGTGGGCTCTCTCAGCCCCACACGGGGGACCCCTGGAGCTGTGCATGTCACCCCATGAAACCCCTGGGACCCTTAGGACCAGAGCAAGAATGGGGACGTGCTGCCCATGCTGCTCCCTGTCCCCAGCACAGGGGCACGAGGCAGCGGTGATCCTAYAGCCAACCCCAATAACCACCGGTGTCACTTTGGGGGGTGCACACAACAGACACACGTGCAGCACTCGTGCAGCCGTGCACTGCTGTGCCTGCAGCAGCCTGTGACAGCCGAGGAGGGCACCCTGTGACAGCCCAGCCAGGGCACATCACATCCGCACTGCCACAGCGCCTGAGCCGCCCTGGATGCCGGCCGAGCGTCTGACAGAGGCACAAAWCCCACGCACGGAGCCTCGGCAGCAGTCCCTGACAACCTCAGCGCCTCTGCTGCTCCCCACACCCCGATTCTGCTGCCCCCCAGCCCCCTCCTCACCATTTCAGTGGAGGTGACAACGAACCAGCGCAGGATGCCGGGCAGGGGATAGGCGGTGGTGAAGGTTGTCCGCTCAATCCACATGTTCTGTGGGAAGAGCAGCAGTCACTCCCCACCMTTCTCCCATCACCCCTGGCTCCCACCTCCGTGGGCACAGGAATTCCACGTTCCCTGTCTCTCCTCTGGCACCCCCAGCTTTCCTGGGRGTCCTGGCAGCCCCTCCCAGCACTCACTGCAAATTCATTGTCGGGATCGTTGGGGCCCCTCTTGAAGGGCCGCGAGTAGCTGAACCTCTGGATGTGGTTGGCTTTGTAGAAGCTGCGGGGAGGGAAGGGGCAGAGATGGGAGAGGATCCCCATTTCATGGGGTTCCACCCCCCGTGGAGCAGAGCAGGGGCTCCTCACTCACTTGGTGATCTGCTCCGGGATGCTCCGGCCCTTGAGCCGGACCTTGGCTCCCTCGGCCGGCTGCACGGTGAAGCAYTGGATGTCTGTGGGAGTGAAGGAGCCACACCAGGGGGACGGGGCTGATGGGGACAGGGGCTCCATGGCCCAGAGAGGGGAACCTCAGGGATACAGGAACGCATTGCAGGAATTCCCACATGGAGGGTAATTACCAGGGACCGAGCCGCCCTCCCAACCCCGTCCCCGCACACAGAGGATACACTGCCCTGGAGAGTCCGTGATGTCCGGGCCAGGGGGAGCTGTGCTCTTCAGCTTCTCAGCATTGGGGAAGGGGCTCAGCAGCTGCATCTCAAAGTCCTCCCGCCGCTCGTACTCCTTGCCCCGGTARATGAAGACCTTGTTCTGCAGGRGAGGAAGGTGGCAGCTCACCCMAGTGTCGCAGARTGGGGTCAGRGAGCCTTCAGGCTGTCCACCAGGGTATTGGGGTGTGGGCACTGATGGGGCTGAACCCCCTACCAAGCAGGAGACACCCCCCTCCAGAAACAAAATATCTCCCCAAACCCAGCAACTGGAGGAAAAAGAAATGAAGGCACATGGAGAGTCAGGATTGGTGCCKGCCAAGAAATGTCACTAAGGGCAAATCCTGCCTGACAAATTTGGTGGCTTCTGCGAGGGTGGATGGGGACAGTGACTGGACTTGTGTAAACCATCTGATCTGGTCACCAGGACACTCCAGGACAGGCATGGATGGGACAGTGGGTGGGTAAGAAATGGGCTGGATGATGATAATCCAAGCGTTGTGGTCCACAGCTCCACTCCCAGGTGGAGGCCASTGAGGATTGGGATTTTTTGGGTGTGGAGGTGGCAGATGTGGAGCAGCTCCCAGCCCTGCTTACCCGCAGGAAGGTGGGGAAGCCCTGCCCATAGTACCCCACGGCAAAATAATCCGGGCTGGGCCGCAGCACCTTCAGGATCTTCTCATAGAACTTGGCTTCCCGTTGCTGTGGGAGAGAGGGGCAAGATGGGGACAGGATGGATCTGCAGACCCCAAATCCTCCCCTGCCATCCTGCCCTGCCAGCAGCACAGGATAAGAGCAGGGTGGGGACAGGATTGAGCCCTGCAGACCCCAAATCTTCCCCAGCTCATCTCTGCCATCCTGCCCTGCCAGCAGCACAGGATGGGGACAGGATGGCGCCCTGCAGACCCCAAATCTTCCCCAGCTCATCTCTGCCCTGCCAGCAGCACCCCCATCCCAACTGGGCACCCACCAGGATGTCGCTCAGCATTTCGTAGTCGAAGACGTGGCTCTCGTACTGCTCCGCCARCTCCTTGCAGATGTGGATGGCCTCCTCCCACATCTGGAGAAGAGGGGGTCAGGACAGGGCCCCCCCTTGTAGGGTGAGGGGACGCCTGCATCCCTGTCCCCCCGGGAGGTGAGGAGGAAGAGAGGGCTCTCCCGTGGGGCTGGGGGTCCAGTGGCAGCAGCAGAACTTGGCTTCCCACCATCTCCAGCCCTGGAGCCCCCAGCCCCATCAAGATTTTGTCCTGGGATGTCCCAGCTGCGGCCCTTGGCAGTACAGTGGGATGGGATGGGATGGGATGGGATGGGATGGGATGGGATGGGATGGGATGGGATAGGGATGGATGGGATATAGGGATGGGATGGGATGGGATAGGGATAGGATGGGATGGGATGGAGGACACTGGCTGTGGGGTGACCCATGAAGCCCAGGCTCACTGCAGGGCAGCTCCAGCCCCACTGCAGCACTTGAGGATGGGGTCTGGGGGCTTGGAGCCAGGGGCCAGAGAGCCAGGGTATGTAGGGGTAGGTGGCCACATTCACCTTGCCCTGGTCAAAGTACTCGATGATCTGGTTGTACAGAGCCTCCTTCAGCTGGCGCTGGGTGTGCAGGTGGGGGCCGTGGGGACCTGGCACAGAGGCTGCGTTGGGCTCATCTGACCACTGCACAGGGGAGCAGGGATCTGTCACACAGGGCTGCCCGCCCTCCCTCCACAGCCCCCCGYGCCCCCCGTGCCMCCCGTGCCCACCGTGAGCAGCCGGGCGTGCAGCAGCAGCGTGTAGGCTCCCTCTGTGTAGTTCTCATAGCTGATGTGCAGGTCCTTCAGCTTGTACAGGTACCTGGGGGGGACAGTCGCGGGTGTGGGGCATGACAGCCAGCACAGTTTGGGGACAGAGCCCCGTCCCCCTGCCCCTCAGGCCACTCTGCCATCCCCACCCCRCTGGGAATGCTCGGGACCCCCAGCCCAGGTGGTGCCACTGTCCCCGGGGCTGCACTCACCTGATGTACATGGCCTGGCGGTCGATCTCCTTGTAGAAATTCTGTGGAAGGGCAGACGAGCCCGTGTGAGTGGCCCCAAGGGTGGCACATGCAACAGCCCCCCACGGTCCCACCCTCGGGGTCACAGGGCTGCCAGGACTGTCCCCACACAGGGATGGGGGTGGCCATGGCCCTGGGGAGCTGCACCGTGACTCCCAAGGGATGGCAGCTCTGGCACGTTCACCCCATCTCTGCTGTGCCAGGGGACTGGAGGGGATGCAGGGACAAATCCCACCAGCCCTGAGAATCTGGGCAACCTGGGAACAAGCCCTGGTTGCCCCAGAGAGCTGAAAACATGGGGGAGAGCCCTGCCAGCCTCAGGGAGCCAGAGCAGAGCACAAATGCCCACCAGGAGGTTGACGGTGCAGCTCATGCTGTAGGTCTTGTTCTCGTCATTCATGACAGCCCGGTAGTCCAGGAGCCGCTCCAGGAGCCCGCTCACCAGCTCCACAAAGTCCTCTCCAGGCTTGGCCAGCTCGGGGTGGCTCTGGCAGCAGTTCAGCAGGCTGGGGAGGAGAGGGAGCCGCAGGTGCCACATCTGCAGTGCTCCCAGCACCGCCCTGCTCGGCACCAGAGGGCAGGGGCAAAGCCTGGGCAGAGCAGGGGCATCAGCTGGGGCAGGAGTAATTCCTGGGGCAGGGACAACACCCAGGCAGGAGTAATTCCTGGGGCAAGAGTAATTCCCGGGGCAGGGATAACTCCTGGGGCAGGGATAACTCCTGGGTCAGGAGTAATTCCCGGGGTGGGGATAACAATAAAACCTAGGGCAGGGGTGACACCTGGGGTGGACAGGACAGGCTGCACACCATCAGAGGTGTGCAGGGAGCACACGATGCTGCTCACACCCCAGCCTTCCTCCTCGCTGGTCCCTTTSCCCCGTGGCCCATTCCGGGTCAGGGCACAGCGTGAGGAGGAGTGGGACGGCAGCAAAGGGTCGCGCCCTGGGGACAAGGTGACAGATTCRTCACTGCACACTCACATGCTCCTGAAAAGCTGCATGTACTGCTCGTCCCCGCGGCCGCCCTCCACCTCGCTGTCCAGCCTGCGCAGGATCTCGTCCTCAAACTGCGGAGARGGGACGAGGATGGGCTGAGCTCGGAGCAGCCCCTCCCGCAGACCGCCCGGTGCAGGCGGTTCCCATCCGCGTTCCCGGGTGTGGGTGGTTCCAACACCATCCCACCATCCCACCATCCCGCTCCCCCGAGCAGCCTCGCTCCTCACCCGGCTGAAGCTCCCGGTGAGGCGGTGCTCGCACAGCATCATGTCGAAGAAGATGGGGATGGTGGAGCTGCGCAGCTCCTGCTCGGGCACCAGCGTCATCTCCAGGATGGGCCCCACCATGCCCGGGATGAACTCGATCTTGCGCTGGCCTGGGAGGGCAGGGGAGGGCTGGGGCAGATCCACACCCACGCGGGATCCCACACCCACAGCAGCAACACCCCACTCCCCAAACACTCTGGGGATGGCACTATGGACATCACTCCACAGAGACCCAAAAATCCCCCCATCACCGCCCCCCACAGCTCACCGAGGTTGTACCACATGTCCCGGATGGACGCTCCAATCGTGGCTCTCATGTCCCCGTACCTGCCGGGACCGTGATCGGTCAGCATCGCTGCAGCTCGGGGTGCAGCACAGCCCAAAATCCCTGACCTCGTGGCATGGTGGCACCCCCGAGGTGTCAGGGGACTCACTTGGCCAGGATTCTGTTGCGCTTGGCCGGGGAGAAGTTCTCCAGTTGCAGGGAGTCCTGGGTGAGGAAGGCCACGGCCAGGTGGAAATAATTGTTCCAAAGCTGCAGGGGAAGCACAGGGATGAATGCCAGGCTGGGTGGCACAGGGGGCAGGGGTCAGGTTGGGTCCTTTCCTAACCCCCATGGACCGAACCAGGATTGAGGCAGTGCCCACCCACCTGCAGCTCGAAGTTGCTGTTGCTCAGGAACATCTCTGTCAAGGTCACAGCAAACTGGTTGATGGCACGCAGGAACTCCCTGAGGWGAAAAATCAAAGGAAAGGATCCAGAACGGGGGGGAAAAGAGCTAAAAAATCCAACCTGGCTAAAAAATCCCGGAAAATGGGAAACTGTAGTGCACACCCAGAGCTATGCTCCGGTGTCTACCTGCCCCAAGGTGTCTCATGTGCTCAGCCAGCCCTGGCAGCCCCCTGCAGGTCCCTCCCCAGCTCCTCACCGGTTCTGCACCATGTTCATCACCATCCAGTCACAAGGGTACACCGTCTTCCCAATCAGGTCCTTGAAAAGGATGAAGGTCTCCATGAGGAAATCCTGCAAGGGAGGGAGGGATGTCAGRAGCTGGGCTGGAAGCAGTGCCCTCAGGGAGGTGCTGGTGCTGGAGGGCTCAGCCTTGCAGTGGGCAGCACTCACCATCAGCTCAGGCCGGGAGGGGAACGCCTGGATGTAGGTGCTGTAGTGGTCCTTGTCCATCTGGCTCAGGATGGAGGCCATGCAGGCCACGTAGTGGCTCTRGGGGACAGGAGCTGCTCAGGCCATGCTGCATCCTACACCCAGCACTCGCCTTGTTCCTCCAGTCAGTTCATTCCCTGGAGCCCCAACTGCCCTGGGGTTTGTTCACCCCCTGCCTTCCCTGGCCCCTTCTTCCCCAGCTGCCCAGACCTCTCTCTCCTCGTGCCCCACTCATCCCCAGTTCCCAGTTTGTGCATCCCACTCCAGGGATGGGATGGCTCCAGCGCCCACTGTGATGCTGGGGGGTGGGTACAGGTATAACTACAGAGTGGTGCTGAGCGCCTGTGCCGTTTTTAAGGTAATTTAAGGCAATCTGTGSATGTAAGGGCATTTTGAAAATGGCAAGCAGGTTCCTCCTGCAGCACCTCCAGTGAAGGATCCCAAACAGAGCCTTCAGCTCCACTCCAGGAGGCTCTGCAGGTGAGCAAAGCTCCTCTCCAGGCCAGCTTTGCAGTGAGATGAGCGGGGTGCACAGGAGCAGGATGCTGTCTGGAAAGATGTCTTGGGAGTGCACTCAGGGCTGGAAACTGCAGRAAAGGGCAGCTGTTTCTGTGATAAGAGCATGGTCCTGCATGCGATGGCCCTGCCGTGCGCCAGTGATGGAGCTTTGTGGGTGGCTTAAGGTGCCAGTCCCCGGAGAGTGCCGTGCCTGAGTCCTGTGAGGGCAGCACGGAGCGCTGGGCATCACCGCCCATCCCAGGTGCCACACGCACCTTCCAGGCACGGCACATCCAGCACTGCCGGAATTTCCTCCTGGATTCCGGCAGAGACGGAGCCTCCTGGCAGCCCCAGACCAGACCTTGCCACCCGCGTTGAGCCCAAAGCGGACTGCTCGGGGAGGGATGTGGCTGGTGCTGGTGACCGAGGTGACCCYGGGCAGCCCCGGGAGCTGCTTGGGATGGGGCGTAGAGGGGGAACATCGTGGACACGGCCAGCCCTGGCTACGAGCGGGTTTGCAGGGAATTCTCTCGTGTAAAGCAAACGGATCAAACCCCAACAGCTCCCGCTCCTTCGGGAATCCCTGCGGTGCCGCCGCCCCGCCGAGCGCTGTCCCGAGCAGCAGCACCGGCACGCCGGGGCCCGCGGGACCGGGACGGGCATCCACAGCACCGCCCGGGCAGAACCCGCCCGGTGCCGGGATCGGGACTCCTCCGGGGCTCCGGGGCTCGGCTCCCGGGCGCGCTCCGCCCCCCGCCCGGCTCCGCCCCCGCCGGCTCCGCCCCGGTACCGGGCAGTGCGCACCGCCCCGTCCCGCCCCGCCCCGCCCCGCCCCGCCGAGCCCCGCGCCCGCCGCTGTCGGACCCGCGCCGCCGCCGCCGCCGCCGAGCACCAGGTACGGGCGGGATGGGGAGAACGCTCGGCCGGGGATCGGGGCGGTGGCTGGGCCGGCAGCTGCGGGCATCGGCCCTGCGGCTCCGGGCCGGTACCGGGACCCCGGGCGGCCCCGCGGCCGGCGCGTGGGAATCCCGGGGCCGGGAGGGGCGACGCGGTACGGGGAGMGCCGCAACCGGGACTGCGCGGCGGTGCGGGGACCCCGGGGGGTGCGGGAGCGGTGCGGGCACCCTCGGCCCGCGGGATGCGCGGGGGCCGGGGCTCGGAGCCGAGCTGGRCTGGCGAGGGGGATCCTCGGTGTCCCCGCATCCCCGGGGGTCGCGGCACTTCTCTGTCCTCCCCTCCTCTGCTCCCGCCGAGCAGGAGCTGCCCGGGGAACTGCGGGAGGCAAGGGGCCGGTGGCACCGAGCAGCAAGCATCCTATAGCAGGCACCGTGCGCCGGGCACCCCGCACCGAGCCCCCTGCGCCGGGCACCCCGCACCGAGGTGGCCGCCGGCTGCCCTGGCGGGGATCCCTGGGGGACACCGCCGCGCTGGAACGGTGTCACGGTGTGCTGCCGAGGGAGGTGCATCTGTGGCGGGAGCTGCTGTGTTAGAGGGGCCGAAGACCCCCACGCCGTGGCGCGGTGCCGCAGCCTCGCCCTGCCCGCCCCGCTCCGTGGCCCCGCCGCTCGCCGGGTCGCTGCGTGCGGGGGCTGCGTGCGGGAGCCGCTCCGGGGAGCGGCCGGGCGGGCTCATCTCCGCTCCCCCGCGTTAGGGACGCGTCCGTCAGCCGGGGCTGTGCCGGGTGACACACGCACACGCAGATCCAGGGATGTCACTTTCGGTACCGCGCGCCGCGGTGACGCCGGCCGGGGCTGGAGGRATTCAGCCCACGTTGCTCCCGGCAGCTCCCGGCGCCGCGATCCGCGCCCAAGGCCTTGTGTCCGCCGGCGGGGCTCCGGGATGCGGGAGCGAGCCCCAGGCAGTCCCGCCAAACGGGGATGCGCAGCTCCCGGGGTGCTCCGGTCCCGATCCTCCCCGCGGGAACGCACGCAAACCCCGCTAGAGCCGCGGTTCCCGGCAGCGGTGCCGGTAGGGGCCGGGAGGGCTCCGCGGAGCCGGTTTTGTGTTGGGAGCACGAGGTGGACACGTATGAGTAACCACCGGGCCCCGGCTGTGCCAGCGCGGGGACATACGGGGACATCGGTGTCAGCTGCTGGCTCCGAGGGGCACAGCGTGCTCAGCCAGCGGCGGATCGCGGCGATCTCCACACCCGGCCCCTCCCGGGGGTACGGGAATGAGCCCCTCGGCACAGCCGCGGCGGCAGGGGACGGGAGGGACCGCCCGAGGAGCGGGGCCGGGAGCAGCAGGGAGGATCCCCGGGCAGAGCCGGGCTTAGGCTGACACCTCCGGCCCTTCCCTGAGTCCCCTCTCCGCAGGGAGCGTTCGTCCTTCGGGCGCGCTCGGAGGAGCCCGGTGGATTTCGTCGCACAAGCTCCTTTGGACTGAGGTTGTCTTCCTTACAAATGATAATTATTGTAATTACTTAATAGTATGGTGGCATCCAGAGGCCACAGATAATTAGTGGATCTATTCCTTTCCCTGTTAACAACACTATTCCAGTCCTAACCAGTGCTGTGGGCAGAGCCTGCTTCGTGTGTTTGAGAAGATCCGTGTGGTCCGGGCTGTTTGGTGGTGGGGAAACTGAGGCACGAGGCGAAAGAAGACACTTGCTAATTCCCAAATTCCCCCGGTAGCCGGCATTGTCTGAAGCGCATGGAGATAAAGCGGGRCAGGCTGCTCGATGGCATTGGGAATGCACTTAAAGGCAGGAATTTGTATTCTGGAAGGGCGCTCTCGGTGCTGGGAGCTGCAGCTGCAGAGGCCGCGCCGCTGGCTGCYGGCACCGGGGCCGGTGGGTGCTGGTGGGACGGGGGCTGCCCCAGGGGGACCCCGAGCSCCCCGAGCCTGGCCCGGTGTGTGCAGGGGCAGCTGGAGCACCGCGGGAGCTGCCGGGCGGTGAAGCCTTTCCAGCTTTTTCCAGAAGTGTGCTCTTCTGGGGACGGTTTGTGGCTTTCTGATGTGATCTGTGGCCTGAGGGAGCCCACAGAGCCCGGGTCTGCCAGGCTCCCCTGGCCCAGGAGGTTGCTTCGCACCCTGGTGGGCTCAGATGGGTGCCCAAGCCCCTTCTCCAGAGGTGAGACATCCTCCCCAGAATGAACAGGGCTGCGGGGGTCTGCAGGTGAGCTGGGTCTCCTGTGCCCCAAASTCTCTGTGCCGTGTCCCACTTCCCTTGTCCTGTCACTGCTGCAGGATCAGCCCATGCTGGARACACCAGCAGAGCCCTGAGCTTTGGTGCTGGGCACCATCCGATCTCTCTGGGCTGGATCTCCCTCCCAAGCGCCTTCCTGGGTCCGTGTAGCCAAGCAGGGCATGTCCAGGGCTCAGAGGAGGATGGTAYTGGCCACATTCCCTGGGAAGGAAGCAGCTGAGCAGGGTGTTCTCCCTCCCGGAGCAGCCCCGAGGGTGGCACTGAACCTCAGCGCCGGCAGCAGCTCCGGGGATGCTCTGCTGCTCCTCCACGATGCCGAGGGAAGCTTTGGGACGTGGAACAAACTCCTCCCGAGCCGCTCCCGCTCCTCACGCACTGTCTGCCCCGCTCTGCCCGTGCTCCCCCAGGCAGGTCACTCTACCTCTTCATGTCTCATCAAAGCGGMGATACGGACGCTCCTCTGCCTGGCAGAGAGGTGGGAACGCCAGCAGGTAGCGGAGGGAACAGAGACACACCACTGCCATGACAGCCGTATTAGCATCCACGGGAGACAGAGGAATAATTTGGCTTCTGCAGCTTCTGAAGGCTCGTGCAGAGGCTTTGTACTCCCGTCTCCCTGACCGTGTGCAGGCTCCATCTGCAGCGCCGGCACATCCGCAGTCGGGGGGGAGCGATGGAAGCGGAGCCCCATCGGGAGGATGGCGCTCCTCCTTCCCCAGCCGATGGGATCCGATGGGATCCGATGGGATCCCTTCCACGGGCTGTGTGGCCAGCGCAGCCGGGAGCCTGGTGGCCCAGAGAGGAGCCCGCGGGTGCTGGTGCCGTGGAGAGGCGGGTGTTGGGGGTTCCCTGCCCCGGCCGGGTGCCAGAGCCTTCTCGTGGGCCCCGTGGCCAGGAGAGTGACTAATGTTCCCGCAGAGCACTTCAGCCAGTGACCTACATAGGGATGAGCGCGGATCCCTCGGCTCGTGTGAGCCGCCGCTCGTACCGGGACCYGCGGGCCGGCGCCGCTCCTGGAGCCCCCGGGCGATGTTCGGTGTGGGGCTGGGGAGGCTGAGGGGCACAGGCACGCCGGGCATGGCCCCGGTGACAGGGACAGCACCTGTGTCCTCAGCCGGGCCACCCAGAGGGGCTGGGAGAGCCCAAGTGTTTGTCCAGCAGAGCCTTGAGCGCTGTTGAGGGGGTCAGGTGAGGTCCATCAGGGACATGGGGAGCTGGCCTTGGGGACACAAGCCAAGCTGGACCTGTGGAGCACCGGGAATGTGGCTGGAGAAGRAGCGTCTCCTCGAGGGAGAAGAGCTGCTCGAGCGGCAGCGCTCCGCTGGCACGGCTACAGTCGGATATAAAAGGGCCGTGATTAAGTGCCTGCAGGAAATGAGGAGGACTGTGAGGCTCCCAGCAGCTTCTGGAAGAG